CTAAATTCCAGTTAGCATAGGTACTGTCACATCTTTTGCATTTGTCATAGCAAAGGTGTCAAATTCAAATGTGTTAGAAAAATGAATGCTGGTTCCCTTTGAGTCTAGCACTAATTACCAATTCAGCAAAAAAAAAAAAAAATCCTTTCTCTTCCCCATGCAGCTCTTGAATACAATTGCCCAAATAATTGGTACAACATATATAAAAACTGTTTTATGCTTACATAGCCTTTGTTGTGTCTTGGGAACTGTAGGAACAACCTTTCCCAAACATACAATTCCAGTATAGAAATGGGGATGCAAACACCTACACCACTTTTCCAAAAATCAGCATATTGCTGTTTTAGCCCTGAAAGAGTGCGATCTATTGTGAGAAGCAGGTTGTGTGGGGAACACCTAAAGGGTATGGTGTGGTTTAGTTAAGTGCATCTCTGATCTAGAGCAAAAAAAAAGGAGGGAGCACATTTAGTGTTTTGTGTTATTCATGCAAACTTTCCCCTTCCCTGAGCTGCACTTACCTATGCAGAAACTGCAACAAAAGCAGCTTAAAGGGGGTTCTACTCTTGTTTATTTATCATGTCACAAATGAATTGAGAATATTGTTATAATGTATAGAAAAACCACAAACAAGGTTAAAAACTTGGTATTATACTAAATGTCCTTTGACCAGAAGCTGGCCGCTTGGAGTGCATCTGGTGTCACTGTAAGGAGGTCCACCATTGTGCGTGTGGCAGGGCTCAGACTGCGTTGTAGTAAATGGTCTGTTGCATTGTAGTAAGTACTCTGCTGCTGAGTACGCATGCTCAGTATGGAATACATCTCACAATGTTAAAACAGTGGATGTGACTCTTAATTGTGGGCTGGGTTCAGGGTGCTCTCTGAATGTAGGTTAACTATAAATCACAGCAATTACAACTCCCAAATGTCAAGGTCTATTTTCCCCAAACTATACCAGTGTTCACATTTGGGCCTAATGAATATTTGTTATGATTACATGGTCCAAAGATTTAGGTAGAAATATTGATTTGGAAGTATGGGAACATTTGTGGGAAAAGGGGTTTAAATTTTCAGTGGCCGGCTCAGTTAGAGAAAATATTTTTAAAATGCTTTATAGAACTTACATAACTCCAGAATTTTTGGCTAAAATAAAGAAAACAGGACAAGGGATTTGCTGGGGATGTAAGAAGGCAAAGGGAATTTTTTTCCATGTATGGTGGACGTGTACTATAGTTAAAGAATGTTGGGGAAAAATGGTGAAAGAAACAATATGATTAACAAAAAGGTCAAGAAAAACCTGGAAATGTCCTATTAGGACTATTTAGAAGCTGTATCAGTGCAGGAGATGAAGAAATTCGTCACCGCTTTGAATTGCCTGAGGGCTGAGAAAAGCGGTATATAAATAAAGTAAATAAAATATTGCTTTGTTGCGGCAAGACTAATAATAGCCAAAACATGAAAAGGAGAAAAAGAGTTATCTATTAAAGATTGGAGAGATAAATTAGTAGATTACTGTATATACTGGAGTATAAGCCTAGTTTTTCAGTCCTTTTTTAAAGCTGAAAACGTCTCCCCCAGCTTATACTCGAGTCAATATTATTTATTATTTTACTTTGTTGTTGTTGTTATTATTATTACATTTATTATTTTATTATTGTTGTCATTATTACATTCATTATTTTACTCTATTTATTATTATTGGAGGACATGTAAGCATATTTTCATTGAAGAAGGTTAGAATACTGGTTTAATCAGAGTTGGACAATCTTATCTTGAATTACAGTTTTATGAAAATATTCAAAAGCATGTAACCTACTGATGCCTAAATTAATATAATTTTATTGGTATCTATTTTGATTATGAAATTGACCAGTAGCTGCTGCATTTCCCACCCTCGGCTTATACTCGAGTAAATACATTTTCCCAGTTTTTTTGTGGTAAAATTAGATGCCTCGGCTTATATTTGGGTCAGCTTATACTTGAGTATATATGGTACATCCAAATGGCCAAGCTGACAAATAGCAACAGAGGAGGAAATAATGAAGAATTTGCAAACAAATGGAGGCTGGCACTTGGGTATTTGGGAAAGAAGACAAAGGTAAACTTGAAGATTGCCATAAAGGGGATTCAGTGAAAGAAGATATTTGGGTAGTTGTTGTTTAGTTGTGTGATCCTTTTTTGAGGGGCTTCGGAGGTCATGGGGTGGGGTTCATGGGGGGGGGGATAGAGGGTTATGAAATGTTAAGGTATAAATAATTGTACAACCAAATCTGATTGTTCATATGTTTAAGGAGCACTGAATATTCACTCTTTTGTAAATCCTATACACGCACACACACATATATATTCAACTAAACAACAAGCTCAGGCTTCCCAGGGACATTAAAAACAATAAAAAGGGATTCTTTTCTTATGTCAGTAGAAAAAGGAAAAATAAGGAGGCGATAGAGCCTTTTCCAGGAGAAGATGGGGCAATGCTGACAGGGGATAGGGAAAAGGCAGAACTACTAATACCTTCTTTGCCTCGGTCTTCTCACAAAAAGAAAGTCATCTTCAACCTCAGCAAGACGGAGTGGATGAGGGATTTGAGGACATCCAACTCCAAATTGGGAAACAAGTCGTACAGGAATACCTGGCCGCTCTAAATGAGTTCAAGTCCCCAGGGCCAGATCAACTACACCCAAGAGTATTGAAGGAACTAGCGGAAGTCATTCAGAACCATTGGCAACCATCTTTGAGAGTTCTTGGAGAACGGGAGAAGTTCCAGCAGATTGGAGGAGGGCCAATGTGGTCCCAATCTTCAAGAAGGGAAAAAAGGATGACCCAAACAACTACCGTCCGGTAAGCCTCACGTCAATACCAGGCAAGATTCTGGAAAAGATTGTTAAGGAAGTGGTCTGCAAACACTTAGAAACAAATGCGGTCATTGCTAATAGTCAACATGGATTTATCAAAAACAAGTCATGCCAGACTAATCTGATCTCTTTTTTCGATAGAGTTACAAGCTGGGTAGATGCGGGGAATGCCGTGGATATAGCGTACCTGGATTTCAGTAAGGCCTTTGACAAGGTCTCCCATGACCTTCTGGCAAGGAAACTAGTCCAATGTGGGCTAGGCAAAACTACGGTGAGGTGGATCTGTAATTGGTTAAATGGACGAACCCAGAGGGTGCTCACCAATGCTTCCTCTTCATCCTGGAAAGAAGTGACGAGCGGAAGTGCCGCAGGGTTCCGTCCTGGGCCCGGTCCTGTTCAACATCTTTATTAATGACTTAGATGAAGGGCTAGAAGGCAGGATCCTCAAGTTTGCAGATGACACCAAATTGGGAGGGATAGCCAATACTCCAGAGGACAGGAGCAGGATTCAAAACGATCTTGACAGATTAGAGAGATGGGCCAAAACTAACAAAATGAAGTTCAACAGTGACAAATGCAAGATACTCCACTTTGGCAGGAAAAACGAAATGCAAAGATACAGAATGGGGGATGCCTGGCTCGAGAGCAGTACGTGTGAAAAAGATCTTGGGAGTCCTCGTGGACAACAAGTTAAACATGAGCCAACAATGTGATGTGGCGGCAAAAAAAGCCAATGGGATTTTGGCCTGCATCAATAGGAGCATAGTGTCTAGATCTAGGGAAGTAATGCTACCCTTCTATTCTGCTCTGGTTAGACCACACCTGGAATATTGTGTCCAATTCTGGGCACCACAATTCAAGAGAGATATTGACAAGCTGGAATGTGTCCAGAGGAGAGTGACTAAAATGATAAAAGGTCTGGAAACAAGCCCTATGAGGAGCGGCTTAAGGAGCTGGGCATGTTTAGCCTGAAGAAGAGAAGGCTGAGAGGAGATATGATAGCCATGTATAAATATGTGAGAGGAAGCCACAGTGAGGAGGGAGCAAGCTTGTTTTCTGCTTCCTTGGAGACTAGGACGCGGAACAATGGCTTCAAACTACAAGAGAGGAGATTCCATCTGACATGAGGAAGAACTTCCTGACTGTGAGAGCCGTTCAGCAGTGGAACTCTCTGCCCCGGAGTGTGGTGGAGGCTTCTTCTTTTGAAGCTTTTAAACAGAGGCTGGATGGCCATCTGTCAGGGGTGATTTGAATGCAATATTCCTGCTTCTTGGCAGGGGGTTGGACTGGATGGCCCATGAGGTCTCTTCCAACTCTTTGATTCTATGATTCCTATGAGTTTGGTCCAGATCCATCGTGGTTTAAGTCCAATGCTCTCTGGATGTAGGTGAACTACAACTCCAAAACTCAAGATCAATGCCCACCCAACCCTTCCAGTAGACTAAATTACACTCAAACGAAATGGGATGGATGCTCTGGCTTCAGAGAGAAGGCGAGCAACCTGACAAAGGGTCCAGATCATGGTCAGAAAAGGGTTTCATCTCCTTCTCCTTCTCCTCCTCCTCCTCCTCGCCCTCTCCGTGGGCCCCTTCTGTGCCTGCTGCCCCCCAGGCCCCTTGTCCCGAAGGAGAGGAGCGGAGACAGCGCTTTGATCTGGCTCTCCCATTGAGCCCGAGAGCGCGTCTCCTGCCTTCCGAGCAGAAAGTTTGTCAAAGGAAGCGGAGAGTGGGAAGGAGGGAGAGAAGGGGGGCCGCGCAGGTCAGGGCATTGGCGGAGGGGTTGGCTTCCCCCTGCCCCCCTTTCTCCTGCCCCTCCTCGGTCTCCTTCTCCCGGCAGAGGAGGGGCGAGGGTCTGCTCCGTCTCCTCCTCCTCCTCCTCCTCCTGCGCTGCTGTGTTGGCGGGGCCCTCGCATTGATCCATTGATTTGCCCGCGGGTCTCTGGCTGGCCTGACCTCCTGGCTCCCGGGGAAGCCGTCTCCATGGCGACTCGCCCGGCTCCCCCGGCGGCAGACTGTAAATTCCTGCAGCCAGAGCCGAGCGGCAGAGTCCGGGCGAGGGCGGTGGGAGGGAGGGGAGAAGGAGGAGAAGGAGGCAACTAGGAGGAAAGAAAGAAAGAAAAGAAGGAAGGGAGAGAGGGAGGGAGGGAGAGGGGAGAGAGAGGGAGAGAAAGGGCGTTGCTTGGGTGGACCTTCCCCAGGTCCCCCGCACGAGACCACACCAGCCCCAGGCTCGCTCCTTCGCTCGGCGCTCTCGGACCAAACCCGAGGCGGGCTGCTTGGCCAAAGGATCAAGGCCAGCCCAGGGTCTCTCGCTCTTGTGCCTTCCTTCGGGAGCAGGCGAACAAAAGCCCCACAACCCCGACCTGAATCCTCCCCTCGGCTCTGCGGGAGCGCACGCCAAGCGGACACCTCTCTCCCTCTCCTTCCCTCCCACTCTCTCTCTCTCCTGTGCGCTTTTGGAGCGAGTTTGCGCCCGCTGCGCGGTTCCCAAGCCTCCCGAGGAGACCTTCAGAGCAGAGCCAAGCTTTCCAGCCGGTGGGAATGGGGACCGTGGAGGTGGTGGGATGGTGCCTGCTCTCCTTTCTTTTCTGCTCCGGAGGCACCATGGCGAAAGCCAGCCAAGGTAAGGTCGAGGCTTCCCCGACTCAATCTCTCCTTCTCTCTCTCAATCTCAACCTCAGTCCCAATCTCTCTTTCTTCCTCGGAGCATGTGTCTCTGTCTTTGGGACCATTCCTCTCGCCTTTAACCCTTCGGACAGGCTCGGCAACATCTCGCATCCTTGGGCAACATCTCGCAGCCAATCTTTTTTTGACCAGGGACCACTTTGAACAGGGATTACTTGACCAGGGTCCACTTTGACCAGGGACCATTAACCAAGGACTACTTGGCCAGGGGCCACTTTGACCAGGGACCACCTGACCAGGGACTATTTGAACAGGGACCACTTTGACCAGGGTCCACTTTGAATAGGGTCCACTTTAACCAGGGTCCACTTGAACAGGGACCGCTTTGACCAGGGACCATTTCACCAGGGACTACTTGAACAGGGACCACTTTGACCAGGGACCACTTTGAACAGAGTCTGCTTTGACCAGGGACCATTTCACCAGGGACTGCTTGAACAGTGACCATTTTGTCCAGGGACCACTTAACCAGGGGCTACTTGGCCAGGGAACACTTTGACCAGGGACCATTTAACCAGGGACTACTTGAACAGGGACCACTTTGACCAGGGACCACTTAACTAGGGACTAATTGAACAGGGGCCACTTTGACAAGGCACCACTGAATCAGGGACTACTAGAACAGGGACCACTTTGACCAGGGACCATTTAACCAGGGACTACTTGGCCATTGACCACTTTGACCAGAGACTACTTGAACAGGGACCAGTTGGATCAGGGACCATTTCACCAGGGACCATTTTGACCAGGGACCACTTAACCAGGGACTACTTGGCCAGGGACTACTGAACCAGGGACTATTCAAACAGGGACCGCTTTGACCAGGGACCATTTCACCAGGGACTACTTGAACAGTGACCATTTTGACCAGGAACCACTTAACCAGGGACTACTTGGCCAGGGACTCTTTGACCAGGGACCACTTAACCAGGGACTACGTGAACAGGGACCACTTTGACCAGGGACTGCTTTGACCAAGGACCACTTTGACCAGGGACCACTCTCCAGCATTAGTACCAGAAGGCTTATGAATCAGTTTTTGGTCAACTTTAGATTCAGTTTGGTTATTTGGGATCCTGATTTAGAAAACTGCATTGTATAGACTACACGAGTTTTAGTTTTGGATACAGGACATATGCCATCCAGTAGGCACCCTCTTCTCACCCACAGAACACCATACTTAATAAGTTTTGGCACTTATAAGAGGGTTTCGCGAGACCAGTTGCTCTAGTTCAGTAATTCTCAACCTTCCTAATGCTGCAACCCCTTAATACATTTCCTCATGTTTTGGTGACTCCCAACCATAACATTGTTTTCGTTGCTACTTCATATTCATTGCTACTTCATAACTATAATTTTGCTACTGTTGTGAATTGTCATGCAAATATCTGATATGAAAGATGTGTTTTCATTCACTGGACCAAATTTGGCTCAAACATCCAATACGCCCAAATTTGAATGTTGGTGGGGTTGGAAGGGGGATTGATTTTGTCATTTGGGAGTTTTAGTTGCTGGGATTTATAGTTCACCTACAATCAAAGAGCATTCTGAACTCTACCAACAATGGAATTGAACCAAACTTGGCACACAGGACTCCCATGACCAATGGAAAATACTAGAAGGGACTGGTGGGCATTGACCTTGAGTTTGGGAATTGTAGTTCACTTACCTCTAGAGAGCACAGTGGACTCAAACAGCAGTGGGTCTAGACCAAACTTGGCACAAATACTCAATATGCCCAAATGTGAAGACTGGTGGAGTTTGGGGAAAATAGACCTTGACATTTGGGAGTTGTAGTTGCTGGGATTTATAGTTCACCTACAATCAAAGAGCATTCTGAACCCCACCAATGATAGAATTGGGCCAAACTTCCCACACAGAACCCCCATAACCAACAGAAAATACTGTGTTTTCTGATGGTTTTTGGGGATCTCTCTGACACACCCTTGTGACCCCCCCCCCCCCATGATGAGGCCACGTATCATATTGTAGTTCTTGCAGACCACAGGTGGTCCGCATAAAACAGGTTGGGAATCACTGCTCTATGCCAAGTGCTGAATGCCTTTCCTTCAGTTTTTGCTCTTTGACTCTGTTTGGAACGCTTTGAAAATTGCTTTTCAGCCACTGGTTAATGGCTGAAAAGAAGGAAAGAGGGAATATTTTTGTGTTTCTTTTTCATTCTTCCTAATTAAGTACAACCCCCCCCCCCCATCATTCATCAATTAGGATATGAAATATCCTTTTAGAAGCAGGTACTTATGACAACTTGGGTGGAAGATGCGCCTTGACTAACTGTGGCAAAACTCTAGGGAAGAGGTGTGTTTTGATGCACAGATACCCGATCCCCTTGCTGTGCCTTCCCACTTCACAACAACACAAGTGTGTACATGCACACCATCTCTTACTAGGTTGTCAGTCATGAGGAAATGCAAGGAACCACGTGTGAGAAATAGGAGCGAACAGGAGAGGGTTTTAGTCAATCCATGCCTAAGGAACATTGGCAATATTTTCACCATGTGGATTTTACTTCCTCTTAGGCTTCTGTGTGAAGTTAGCAGGAGTTTCCAGAATATTATGGGCAGTCTGAGTGGGAAAAGAAAAGGGCCTGAGGCTGTTAGGAATTGTGGGAGTTGGAGTCCTAAGCACCTGGAGGGCCCAGGTTTACCTATGCCTACTTTAGAGGATAGACTACAGGAAATAAGGCTCAAAAACTACAAGAGAATTTGGGGGCTTTGTGTTGTTTCCCTTTGCAGGCTTTATAAAGAGAGTTGTCGTCTTCATTTAAAGCCTAGTGATTTTAGCTAGGAAAGGAATGCTTTGGGATTTCTCCCCCATCCAATTATCTTCAGTGTATGCATGGCTTTCATATTCTTATCATAATATTTATTTATTAAGGCCTTTGGGTTTCAAATTCCACTGAAGCCCAGACCAGATTTATGCTAAAATAGCAAAGCAAAAATCCATCCTGTAGAGACTTGACGGATACCTTCAGGGAAAGAAGGGGAGGGAGCAAGATGTGGATTTGGGCTAGCTTCTTGCTTGATGAGATTTGGCAGGTAATAATGCCTTCCTCCTCTACACTTGTTCCTTGTGTGAGAAAAACCAACGAACCATTCTGATGGATGTCACTTGGGCATCCTGATCTTTTATTTGCCTTTTCTTAAAATTCTTGTTTAAGATCAGTGTATATATATCTGTGTGTCTCCAAATTAAGCAAGGAATACTCAAAGGGGGTTTGCCAGGTCCTTCTTCTGAAATATAATCTACAGCACCTAATGTTTCTTGGAAGTTCCCTATCCAAGTACTAATCTGGTTAGTTTCCAAGATCAGATGGTATTTGTTGACTTCAGAGTATTTTTGCCCTTTTAGTTAAATATATGGGAGCCCATATGGTCTAGTGCAGTGGTTCCCTACCTTTTTTTTGATCAGGGACCACTTTGACCAGGGAAAATTTGAACTGGGACCACTTTGACCAGGGATCACTTGACCAGGGATCACTTTGACCAGGGACCACTCTCCAACATTGATACCAAAAGGATTAGGAATCAGTTTTGGTCAATTTTAGATTCGGTTTGGTTATTTGGGGTGCTAATTCAGAAAAATACATTGGATAGACTGCATCAGCTCTAGTTTCTGATACAGAACATATGCCAGAAAATAAAATACTGTGTCTGGAACATTAGTTTGTTGTATAGATCACAACAATAGTCCATCATGGAAATGATTTTTTTTTAAGTCACAGGATGGATGTGGAATGGAGCAAGGGTGATACCCACACTCTTTAAAGGTTTAGTTTTGAGCTCTTCATTCCTCTTCTTTTGTAAACTGCGGTGATGATGAAAAAAGCCTGACTGTAGAGCACAGCACACACACATTTGTAGAACATGAAACTTTCCAGAAACATAGCTGACCCTGGAAGAAATCAAGAGGGAACTGAGTAAACTTCTCCAGTTCTGTCCCTTCCAAATGTGTCAGACAGCATCTCCCATCAAACCATACCCAGAATGGTTCAACACATCTGGAAGTTCCCAGGTTGAGGGCAGATTCATTAAAATTCTTACTGGAATACAGAATTACAGGCAGTCCCTGAGTTACAAAAAACTCATAGTTAAGAACGGGGTTGAGACAACAGGAAGTGAAAGAAATTATCCCTCGGTAGGGAAGTTCACTCCTGAAAGAGTTGTCATGGGGAAAAAGTGTCTCCATTGAATCTTCATCCTCAATCCCTGTTTCCACAACAAGCCAGATTTTTCAAAATCCATTTATCACAGGGACAGAAAGTGAGGTGAAATCCTCAGGAAAAAAATGTCAAGAAAACCTAGGATAGTGTTCCTGTAAGTCAGTTGACTAGAAGTCACATAACAATAACACTAGAGTAGGGACATTTATGTCATTTAAGGATATCATCGCCCAGCATTCCCTCACCTGGTATTTTCTAGATATTTTGGATCTCTGTCATTCCTCATCAGCATGATTGGCAGTGATGAGCTTGTATCGCAACTTGTCTAGAGGATGCCAAGTGGAAGAGGGCTAGGAATAGTGGATATGTTATAGAAGACAACATTGGTTCATACACAACATCAAAATAGGTTAATATAAGCTAGAACTTTCTGTAAAATGTACACAGAAATTCTGTCTGAGCTTTAAACAAACTCTCCCAAACTCTCAAACGTGGAAGGTATCAAGGGCAAACATGCTGTCCAAACACTGTCTCCATAGAGAACAGCAAGCAGATACTTGGGTTTGCTGATAAAGTTAGAGTTTAGGCTGGAGGAGTCAAGGCTTTCAGTTCTCTTTTAAAGGTAAAGATTTACTCCTGACATTAAGTCCAGTCGTGTCTGGCTCGGGGGTTGGTGCTCATCTCAATTTCTAAGCCGAAGAGCCGGCGTTGTCTGTAGACAACTCCAAGGTCATGTGGCTGGCACGACTGCATGGAGC